CACTCATGATGTCAATGTTAAGAAACTCCTAGAGTTGCTGTTAAAACACTCATGATGTCAATGTTAAGAAACTCCTAGAGTTGGTGTTAAAATACTCATGATGTCAATGTTAAGAAACTCCTAGAGTTGCTGTTAAAACACTCATGATGTCAATGTTAAGAAACTCCTAGAGTTGCTGTTAAAATATTCTTGATGTCAATGTTAAGAAACTCCTAGAGTTGCTGTTAAAACACTCATGATGTCAATGTTAAGAAACTCCTAGAGTTGCTGTTAAAATATTCTTGATGTCAATGTTAAGAAACTCCTAGAGTTGCTGTTAAAACACTCATGATGTCAATGTTAAGAAACTCCTAGAGTTGCTGTTAAAATATTCTTGATGTCAATGTTAAGAAACTCCTAGAGCTGTTAAAACATTCTTGATGTCAATGTTAAGAAAGTCCTAGAGCTGCTGTTAAAACATTATTGATGTCAATGTTAAGAAACTCCAAAAGTTGCTGTTAAATATTCTTGATGTCAATGTTAAGAAACTCCTAGAGTCACTATTAAAACAATCGAGATGCCATGCTAGTATAGAGATCAAGTCAATCATAAAAACTTCTAAACGAAAGTAAAGAAGAATGTAATAATATGTCAAACACTATATCTAGTGCCAACGAGACCTTTCACCTAATACCAGGTTTCATTAGGCAGGCTGGTATACGACAGACATATTAGTGGTCGAGAAACTATTTATAGCATTAATTATTTGAATGGTTTGATTTTGAATTTCGCGCAAAGGTACACGAGTGCTATTTGCGCTAGCCATCCCTAATTTAGTAGTGTAAGACTAGAGGGAAGGCAGCTAGTCATCATCACCCACCGCCAACCCTTGGGCTACACCTTTATCAACGAATAGTGGGATTGACTGTCACATTATAACGCCCCAACGACTGAAAGGGCGAGCACGTTTGGTGGGAGGGGGATTCGTACCCGCGACTCTCAGATTGCCAGTCAAGCGCCCTAACCACCTGGCCATGTTGGGTCCAATTACTTGAAGAACAATTGTTTCGGTGATAACAAAATTAAGTTTGTTTACTGTAATTGTTAAGTTACTTATAGCGTCAATGTTGATGCATACCTGAAGCCCGTACCGTCGTGCCGCCAAATCTCATCCTACCAAATAATATCCCTTCTTTTGACCATAATGCGCGTGCGTGTGACTTAAACGAGACTAAATATTCAGCATTTTAAAAGAATAACATGGGCCTAAAATAATTCTAGGGGATGTTATCTTTCTTTCACTCCTTTTGGGTAGATTAGCCAAACTGATAGCTTAGCGTATTTTAGTCTTCTTTTTTCAAAAGGTAAAATGAACAGGGTCAAAATTTGGTCTAAAAATAGAATTTGGCACAGTGGTGTCAAATCCTATACGCAAGAAAAACGTGATACCTCACCGACCTTCTTAAGGGTGAAGCCTCAAGCAGCAGAGAGATGGGTTCACACAGTCCGCTAGAAGAAGTTCAGAAATGAATAATAATAGCTTCTGAGTGAACCCCCACCCCCTTATCTGTTTTAAATTGAGGCTCAAGTCAGATGCCCGACTATTATTTTAAAGAATTAGATTACTGCTTTAGTAAAATAAAAAAGGTTTTAATGTTTCAAAGAACGCAAGATTCCAAATAGTCATTTGTCTTACTTGTGACTCTTGGAGTTCCTTAACATTAACATCACGAGTTTAACAGTAACTTGTGCTTAAAGGTCGACACTGCCTGATGTGTAAATATATTCCTGACGTCAGCAACTTCTGAAGTCAGAATTATATATATGGCAAGGGCCTGTACAAAAATGTACCTAAGCCAGCGTCAGTTAATTTTAAAGTTAACAAACTTCTGAGTCACCATTATTAAACTACAGAAATCAATAGTAGTAATAAATTCTTTAATTCACCGTTATTAAACTAAACATATCAGCATTTAAAACGTTTGTTTTGGTAAGCGTTAATTAAGTATTAGTTAATAAATTATAAAACTAAGTATTAATAAACTTTAACAGTATTGATAAATTCACAATAAGTAATAAAAAACCCACACACACACACTTAGAAACACTAGTAATTACTGACAAACTCCAAAAGTCTATATTGATGGACCCCACAAAGGGTGACCAGACGATCCAATTTTACTAGGACAATCCCATTTGTTTTTTTGGTAGTTTATCTCTACCTGTCGTAGAAAAAAGAAAACGAAAACATAGAAAAGTTTTTGCGTATTAATATAATTCAGAAGTTCGTGTCCGAAGGTCTAGAAGCCAGTTTTAGGAACGATACCCAAGCATGCTAAGTAGAGAATAATAATGTTATATACAAGTTCACTAAATGTGTCATGTCGTCACACATCTAAAAACTTGAAATTGTTGATAAAAGAACTGCTAGAATTATCACTATAAGTTTAAGCGACGTAACTCGGGTCTTATCACAAAATATAGAACAAAAAATTACTTGAAGAAGTTTAGTTAATCAAAAATTTAACCTTGTGTAATAAGCAAACAGAAAAGATTGTATATGATGGTTAAAGTCTACAGGAAATGTGGGGTTCCTCCAAGCAACACAACGTATAACTTCTGTTAATCTATAACGATTGACAATAAAAGAATGTATAAATATTTCTATAGCTCGGTCCTTACGCGTGTATATCAGTCCACTAGTGCTACCTACAATCATCAAATGTGTATATCAGTCCACTAGTGCTATCTACAATCATCAAATGATATCAACATCGGACACACCATTCCTAAATTAAGTTTGATATCATGAGAGACCAGGTTAAATATTTTCACTCTTCTTTTGAAGGCGAACACCAATCAGAAAATAAGTATCCCTCCTTAAAGTATCCCTTTAATCATATCAGATGATTAAAAGGCCTGACACCATAGTTTATTAAGTATCCCTCCTTAAAGTATCCCTTTAATCATATCAGATGATTAAAAGGCCTGACACCATAGTTTATTAAGTATCCCTCCTTAAAGTATCCCTTTAATCATATCAGATGATTAAAAGGCCTGACACCATAGTTTATTTTCTTCTCTAAAGCTTTACCTAGATAATCCTGAAGTACGAAAATATCTAGGTAAAACTTTATAGAAGAGAATAAACCATGGTATCAGGCCTTTTAATCTGATATGAACGCAAATTAATATGTATCTGAAACATAAATATGATTAGAATAGAAATACATATGAATAAGACGATATTCTAATTCTAACAGAGTTAACTTTTCTCTTGTAAGCTCAGCCTTTCTCCGTTAGTCTTCTGTTACCACTTGCTGCTTAAAAAATCTGAATCCCTCATAAATGAAGACTAATTATCTAAAGAGACATCTCTCAGATCTGAGACAACTCTGTATGCGCATAGCTAATAGAGTACATTTTGAATATAATGGTTGGAGACGGCTTGAATGGGTAATGAAGAAAAACTTTAAGTTTAACACAACAGCAAATGTACAACGTTTCGACAAGATTTTGTCATCATCAGGTACAAGTAACTTACAGGTACCTGATGATGACAAATTCTTGTCGAAACGTTGTACATTTCTTGTTGTGTTAAACTTATATTAAAGTTTTTCTTTATTACCCATTCAAGCCGTCTCCAACCATTATTAGTCTCAAAGTGGGTTCCTCGTCATAGAATCATCAGACTTATTTTTACCCTTCGACCATCTCAACCAAACCATACAAGTAACCAGCTAGCCTAACCGAACAACATACGTCATTAGCTTTAGTGTTTACGCTTCGACTAGATCGTGAAACAACACACGATCAGATTTATTTCCTACGTCTCCAAGTGTGTTTCTTAGCTATAAAAAAAAGCTGATATCTACCTTAACTTTATAAATAAGTAATTACATTCTAACGGATGTGTCATGATTCAAGATGTGAGTATATATCTAAGTTTTTAAACCGTTGGAATGAAATTGGACTAAATTTGAAAAAAACAAAGGGTGTCCATTTAAAATGACGAGTTACATCGAACATTAAGCCTATATATGAAGGAGAAGTGATTGTAGTCTTTGAAATTAAAAATCAATGTATGGGAAATGTTGTGAAAGTGTTAGGAACGAAAACCTTAATGAAAATTTTAAAAAGTTTCATGTGTTTAGTTTAAGAATAAAGTTGGGGTTTATCTTCGAGGAGATGAATGTTTTTCTGTGAAAATTAGATTCTCGGTGCATTTCGCTTTGAAAACAAAAGTTGAAATTTTCGAACCTAAAACATGGAAGAAATTTACAAAATTTTACACCAGAAGTACTACAAAATAAGTTAATGTGCCTTAGTTTATCATAAAGGTGAAATTATCTACTAGAGGAGTAGTTTTCCCAAGTTTAAAACTAGAGGAGTAGTTTTCCCAAGTTTAAAACTAGAGGAGTAGTTTTCCCAAGTTTAAAACTAGAGGAGTAGTTTACCCAAGTTTAAAACTAGAGG